TTCACAGCCTCATGTGAAGGAGCCATCTCTAGAAGGGGTTAACTTAAAAACACAACTGAGCGGGATACAAAGGGAATTTCTCCAGCTCTCCAGTGAGCTCTCTCCCTCACCCCACTCCAAAGATTTCCATAGATCAAGTCAAAATCCCATTGCTTGGCACGTCACAGCCCAATGCAGTCTTGTAATTAACCTCAGAATAGTTCACTTCCTGTCAGTTACGTTTTAAAGACTTAAGAGTTATTTTTAAAAGGCAACACAACTGTAAGTTATTTAATAAAATACTATGAGCTCTGGTCTCTCATGAGTGGAAATCCCTCCCTGTTTTATGTAAGAAAGCACCCTGGAAACTGGTTAATTAGGTGATACGAAGAATACCCAATTATTTTTATTTTTTTTTCAAAAACCAAGTCATTATAAGATATTGGAAACAGCACAACCACTAGGAAACAGTTATCTTTGAAAAGGTCTAAGAGGATTACTCCTGACAGTAAGAGTACCTTTTGTGAAGTCTGACGTCAACACAATTCAAATTACCGTGACATTAATGGAGAAAATACCGCTATGATTGAAAAGAATATTAGAAAGAGGTGCATTAGGAAGGCTCGGTTTATTAAGACCAAATTGTACTCTATTAATCTGTTAAAAAAAAAAACAAACCTGAATATAGCAAAGCTCTCTATAGGCCTGGACCTGAATCAACACTTGGTAAAACGTCTCTCAGATTTTCACTCATGAAATTAGTTCAAACAGGACAGGATAAAAAGTCACATGGATTTAAAGCCAGCTGGAAATCTGAAACCAAAGGACATAAGAGAGATGAAAGATGGCATAACTAATTAAAAGAAAGTGTCCTGTAGGGCCCCACAGGGGTGAGTATTTGGTTCAGAATTATTTAACATCTTTATTAATGACTGAGAAGAGGACAGAATAATATATTAATAAAATATATAAATTGAGCAGAGTGGTGGTCAGCATTGGGGATGGTAAAGTATAAAAGGAGATTGGAAATCGAAAGGAAATAGCAAAATACACTTCCACCAAAGAAATAATGGAGAGTTCAATGCAACAAAAATGGGATGCGCTCCTCTCTCTCACCCCCAGGCAAATGCCCCTTCCCAGGAGCTCCTGATACATGCCCCAGGGAACTTGAGGTGTAACTTCCAGTTGGTCCTGGGAACTGTCAATAATTAGCAATAATTAGCAATAGGGTGAGGGGAACGACAGTGATGGACATGGAAACTTCCAGAGAGACAGTGACAGATGTGTGCTCTGTTGAGAGAGCAAGACTCACTTCTCTGACCTGGGAACTCAAAGGCGAAGCTGACATGGCCCACAGTGTGGCTGCCCAGGCCACTCCCTGAATTATTCCTGGCCATTGACCTTTCTGAGTATGGCTACTCAGAACAGTCCTGGGTGGTCAGAACTCCAGGGCCAGCCAGGGCAATTCTTTCCCTGATTCCAGCTTACACTAGCCACTCAAATCTACCCTTCTGCCAAGATGCCACAGGAACGTGAGATTCTTGCTGTTCCAGGCTCCTTCTCTCCTTATCTTGGAGAAGATGCCTGGCTTTGCCTGGGTCTGACTCCTGCCCCCCAGCCACACCCCAATCTACCTGTCTTCTCCTGTGTCTTGGATGCTAATAAGCTACCCTCAGCCTGGACCTCAGGTGGAGGTCTTGGTTCTACTCCATATCTGTGGCCCAGAGCGGGCAGGTTTTGACAGACTAAGGCCTAGAGAAACCAATATCAGTTACCTCCCTCCAAGATGCATCTTTATCATCACTACTATGTGGTTTAACATTTATTTCTATTCAACATAGGTCACATAATATAGGCCGATGACTAAAACTGTGAACCCTTGAGTCAAATTGCCTGGATTCAAATCTCTTATCTACCATTTGCAATTTATTTTTATAAATCAAAATTTCCCTGTGTATAAAATGAGGAAAATATGTCCGTTGTGAAGCTAAAATAAAGAGACACTCTGAGCCCAGAAGGCAAGGGGTTCAACAAAAATCAGTCCATTCTGGTATTCTATTAACTTCTTCTGTTGTGCATTTTCAACTTGTTCATGAAAAGGAATGTCACTTCCTCCAGAATATTCTAAGCCCTACAATGTAAGCTCCAGAAGGGCTCACGTTTTGTCTATCTGCCTGCTTGACACCCAACAGTTGCTCAACAAACACACTGTTGAATGATTGATTAAACGAAGAATTGGGAGTGAATCTTACAGCACCTAGCACAGTGCTAGGTCCACAGAAGTTATTCAAAAAGGCGTATGCTGAATTTAATTTCACTTCTCAAGATAAATGAAAAAATCCATTTGGATTATCTATGAGAAATTAAAATGCACATTTCAAAGTGATGGAGGAAGAGAAGAGGAGGTACAGGAAGAGAAAGAAAGAAGAACAATTTGAATCTAAATTCCTCGAGGGTAGGAGACGTGGTTTATGTCTGCCACGGAGTGATAAGCATATTGTGCAGAATAACAAACATTAGAATGACATTGTATCATAGATTGTCACAACCTTTCCTTGAAAGCGGGAAAGGGTGGGCAGCAGAGCTGCCCTCAGCAGGTGAGAGCAACAGATACAAGATGGTTAGGAAATGGAGAAGTGGTGGGGGAGGGCAACAGGTTTTACCTATTAAATAGGAAACGAAAAAACAAGAGGCGGGGCTGGTTTTAGGGGGGTGCTGGTTTTTGTACCTAAAAGCACTCCTGATCCTAGGCCAGGATCTTTTCTTAATGTAGGCCACTCCCCATACAGCTCATGTTTCTGGATCAGGGCATGGGGGTGCACCTTAGGGTCACAGGAGTGTAAGGTCAACTGGTCCAGCCAACTGAACCAGAAAACCTACCTCCCAAGGACCACATCCTTAAATGAGCAAATTCTTAATTAAAAACAAAAAGAAAATGTCTCGATAGCATTCCTTTGCTACTGAAGCACTCCTGGAGGGCCAGTCATGTAAGGTGCTATATGTGTAGGCTCCAGGGTCATTTCAATTTTGTGGGCTACACTCTCATTTCCCATATCCTCTATTTCAGCTAAACTAAATTACTGAGGGTTTTTTTGGTAGTGAGTGGTCTGGAATTTTCTGGCCTCCTATTGCACTTCTGCTTAAGCTGGTTTCTCTGGTAAGAATACCTGCTCTTCTGTCTCCATGTGTCTGAATGCTTCTCGTCTCTCAATGGTCAGCTGAAATGCCATCTCCATCAATCAATCCATCCATCAATCAAAGGCTTAACCAACCGCACTGATTGTGTTTAACTGTCAGGCACTGGGCAGGAGGGACTAAGACACAGCCCCGGGCACAGCAAGGCTTTCTGGGTTTAACTCAGTTCAGGTACTACCCCCATATTAACATTTTTTTCTTTCTTACTGTTACATAGATACTCATGGATAAGATTCTTGAGATTGACAGCCAGAGAGGTGCCTGAATCATTAGTATCTTCCATGTGTATCCATGGAGCTCAGTATAACAGCATCTAATAGATGCTCGGTAAGTACCTGCAGGAACAATCACCCATGCTCTGGTCGTGAAGCCTAGGGCAGTGTCCATACGCTTCCCAGTGCCTGTCACACAGGAAGCACACACTACACAAGTGATGTGGGCGGGTGAGTAAAAGGAATACTCTCCGTGGCTTCTCTGCTGGGAAGAGTTGCAAGGGATGGGGGTGCTCCATTCAAGACTGGCATGTGGACCCCAAGTGGAAATCATGATGCTACACATTGAGCATGAAAATGTGTTTCCCAGAGCATAAAATATCCCTCCTTTGACAAGCAACACTCCACTCCCTATCAACCCAAATTGAGATTCTGTTCTGAGTCATGTATTTAAAGAAAACATTTTGGTATCAACGAAATATCTTTCTCCAAACTTAGAAGGGTAATCCATGGAGACACATCGAAGGCAGATCCAGGCTATCGCTGATTTTCAGTATTCTCTCTTAGTGACCCCACTTCTTTTAACCATACAGTGTTAAAGTTGAGGTGGTGCAGGAAGGCAGGACACAAGAAGCCAGGATGCAGTGACCACATTGTATTTTTCTTTTCGTATTGCTTGGGGATTGAACCCAGGGCCTTGTGCATGTGAGGCAAGCACTCTACCAAACTGAGCTATATCCCAGCCCCCACATTGTTATTTTCTTAAGGTAAGTTTTAAAAGCTATTGCTTGAACCATTACTCAATAATACAAAGAAATGAATTATTGATACATAAAAGAACTTGGATGAATTTCCACAGAATTATACTACCCCATTAGTAGGTGCCATTTTTGTTTTTTATGTACTGGCTGAAAATAAATTTAATTTTTTTAAAAAATATTTATTTTTTACTATTTGGCGGACACAACATCTTTGTTTATATGTGGTGCTGAGGATCGAACCCGGGCCGCACGCATGCCAGGCGAGCGTGCTACCGCTTGAGCCACATCCCCAGCCCCAATAAATTTAATTTTTAAAAAAGTCAAGTGCTGAGGAGATAGTTTGGTGGTAGAGTGCTTGGCTAGTGTGGCTCCATCCCCAGTCAATCTCCCAGTGGGTACATCTAGATGATCCCATTAAATAATATTCTTCAAATGACAAAAATTATTCAGCACCTAAAAAATTATCAAGGATATTATGTTAAGTGAAATAAGTCACACAAAAAGAAAAATACTAGCTGGGTGTGGTGGTGCATGCCTATAATCTCAGGGCCTTAAGAGGCTAAAGCAGGAGGATTACAAGTTCAAAGCCAGAATCAGCAACTTAGTGAGACCCTGTCGCAAAATAAAATATATTTAAAAAAAAGAGCTGGGGATGTTGCTCAGTGGTTAAGGGCCCCTAGGTTCAATCCATGGTAACCAAAGAAAAAGACAAATGCTGCCTGATTCTACTCATATGAGGAATTCACAGTAGTTGAATTTATAAAAAGAAAATAGAAAGTTTGATACTAGAGGCCTGGGTACAAGGGATCCTGGTACAAGGCCTGGTGCTTGGTAATAAGTATAGAGTTTTGCAAGATGGGAAGTATTCTAGAGACTGGTTGCATATGCTGTGAGTGTACTTAACACTGCTGAATTGCACACTTTAAAAACAGTAAAGATGATGAATTTTATGTTATGTGTATTTTGCCGAAATTAAAAACAACCATGGTAAAATCTGATCTAAAACAAAAAAGCCACTATCTGATTGATCCAACTCCCTGTCACTATGTCTTAGTTTTACAAACCAATGGGAAGAGAAAAGTAGCCCATGACTTAATTAAACCTCAAAGACCTTTAGAGTGCAGACGCTGGCACACCACGCTTTTCTAAGGCTTTAATTAACTGTAGGCTCCATTTTGATTTCACGTTCCCTCTGCCTGTTACTTAATTCAACTAAAGTTACTATCAACTTTTCAGTAATGATTAAAAATGTGCTGCTTATTTATATTGGCACTTGACCTTAAATAGCTGCAAATGGATAAGTCAAAGCCACAGATTAGTCATGAAATAGAAACTGAGCCTTTCTTGTTTTTCTAATGCTGTTATTTTTCATTAGTCTGCTCCCGCCAGACTCCAAGGTTAATGAGAGCAGAACTTGGACTCTTTTGTTTGTTTGTTTGTTTTTACCACATATAGATGCTCCATGATCTGTGGACAGAGGGAAGCCTGAAGGGGGCCATGCCCTAAGCAGAGCCACGTATGTTCTGCCCAGAAATATTCACATGGTCACATCCCCTCTTAGAACATGACAGGCACACTGAGCTTGCTGACTAACTGCAAAGAAAGCAAGAGGAATTTCCAAGGAAATTTCATGAAAAATATCAACATTTTTGAAAGGGGAGGGAAATACATGGTCTATAACAAGTCTGTTTTGGTACTATTAACTATTGGTTTGGGCATCTCTACAAAGTGAAAAACAGAAACAAGTTAGTTTGTGTCCTTTGTACAGACCTACCCACACACAGGATGCCCAGAAAGGCCATCCTAACGATTACTTCAAATGGAGGTCCCCTCAGGCTGCGTGCTATCAAGTGAGCCACAAAGTCACCTTTAAAATTTTACTTCTATTGGAACAACATCATTTTTCTTAATTACAGAGTTTTAATTTCTTTTATGTGATTGTTCAGCCTTTGATGTATTGAGCCAATTAACTGAAACTTGGTTAAAAACTAAAGGGGGGGAAAAAAGGGAATTTTGGTAGTAAGCAAAATGGAACTTTAAAAAAAATTTTTTTTTAAGGAACCCAAAGTAGTAGGAGTTGTCCTTGTCATCAAAAGGGAATTTTTTCCATTATCAACACCAAAATAGAGTCTGACCTGTAAACCCTGGTTGGTTCTGTTGCTCTTATTCTCCTTGAATCTTCCTCCTCCAGGGTTCTTGGGTGGTTTCTCAATGGCCACTGGACAGAGTTCCTGAAATGGAGAAGAAAAATCCCTTCAGTGTCTTGAGTGGGTGGGAGATTCAAAGTGTGAAACAAACACAAAAACCAGAGTGGGAACTAGGTGGATACAAACATGTATTTTCAGTTAAACCTTGTAATACCAAAAACGTCACTTTACCTGGTTGCTGTGATAATCAGAAGGGTCACAAGCTGTGAAGGGGTGGATACACCTTCTCGCACTGTTACACCAAGCACAGCCAGTTCCAATACATTTGGAGCATCTGGCAACATGGAAAACCAACTTAATTCCTAGATTTTTAGGAAAAGGTTCACATCCTAAAAATTTCTCTCTGTGATGTAGTGTTAAAATTATTTAAAAGAATTTTAAAAAATCGTTGGAATAACTGGGATGAACAGGAGGAGAGAGGACAGTCCTTTGAGGCTAGGCATAGAGCAGGACTTTGTGCCCTGCTCTGGGAGGCCTTCAGGGTTGACAGGCATCATCACACCTGCAGAAATGTTGCCATGGAAACCTGAAGCTGGGGTCACCTGCTGGTCCATAAATAATAGGAACCACTGAATCTGTTTCTGAATCCATTCCTGCTATTTGTCTACACTCAGGTGAGTCCCCCTGGAGATGGGCCTCTCCCTGCTATCACCTCTCCCAGATCAGCCAACCTTCATTCCCTCAGGCAGCCAAGCTGCCAACTGCCCAGAAGATGTAAGACACAAAGAGATACCTGGCAGGCAGAGGGACTAGGGTGCTGGTGTTTGTTTTATAATCAAATTAAGGAAGAATTGTGTCTTCTAATCAAGTAATCTATCATGCATGGAAAACCCCTGCAGGACTTTGAAAAGCAAACATTAGAATAATCAGAGTTACAGAAAAAATGATTTAAAAAAAAAATGAGACTCCTTTGGAAATGTGGCCAAGGAAGGCCAGAGAAAGCGTCGGCAGGAGACAGCAAGGGTGCCTATTGCAGGGCGCCGGGACTCAGACTGTATTTTATATGTTTTCTAAAGGAAGAGTCTGACCTAGAGAAACTGCAGTTTCCCTGTGGGGAGAAAGCCCAGGCTCCCCTTGGTGTTCGGCTGTCTCTTAAGTGAGCCGGGAGCAGGTCTGTGATTTGTCTGCTTCTCTGACCCTGCAGGCAGGATTACCTTACAAGTGCTTTCCTGGCAGGAAGCAGTTACCTGCAGGAAGGGCTCTCACCTCTGGTGGGAGGATCTGGTGTGAGGTCTGGTCCTCGGTGACCAAGTTGTGGGACCTGGGCCAGTGGCTGCCTTTCATCTGCTCTCTAAACCTGCACATCGGGGAGCTACAGTATTTTTAAACTCTTTGAGCCATAAAATTCTATTTAATTCTCCCCCCCTTTCTCCTATTTTCTGGACTTCTGAGGCTTATCAGAATTTGTATTTTTTTCTTCCCTAAATTAATGCTGTTTCTTAGAAATCACAGATCCTGGCCTATGTCATCTCCTTTCATAGTGCCTCCTTAGTAAAAGAGAAGGTCTAAAGCAGCCTTCCAAGTCGGTTTTAAGTATGGAATCATCTTCAGCATAGAAATAATGGTTCCTGGGCCAGGTAGAAAGGGAGTTCATATTTGGTACTCAGAGAGTTAGTTGTCAATCATCCTGCACAGCCAGCTATAGACTCACACTGATAACATGGCTTCCCACTGTTCCCTTAGGGACCTCCAGGCTGACTTCCAGCTGGAGGGACAGGACTCTGAGAAGCATATTTCCTCTATGTCTTCTTTGCTTTAGAAGCTAGGTATGAGGTGTGGCCCTAATTCAAGGGGTTTCTAGCTAAAAGGGGCTGAGAGTGATAAAAAGAGGGCAGAAGATTGGGAGTGTAGCTCAGGGGTACAGTGCAAGGTGCAGGGTTCCAGGTGGCACCTGGAAAAGAAAAGAAGAGAAAGAAAAGAAAAAGAAAGGGAAAGAAAAAAATGGAAGAGGGTAGAATGAATATGTTCTTTGGGCAAAAGAGACTTCACTGAGTGTCCTTGACAGGCCTTCCTGTTCTTCCTAAATTCCCAGAAACGTCCTGATCAGGAGAGGACCTAGCAGTGCCCTCTGTACTTCCTTCAAGTGTCCCCTGGGCCTAGGAAATAACATTTCCCTGTTGATAAGAGCGCTTAGCCCGTGTTCTCTCCCCGGCTGCCCCAATTTCCTTGTTAGGGCTTGAATGAGTGAGCCGACCCATTAGCTCAGTGGCTCTCCCAGCTCCCGTTAGGCCATGCTCCAAAAGGCACTTTGGGAAGTTCTACTCCACAGAAGAGTTCTTTAGGAAATTGTGGAGTAAAGCAAATAAATTGAAACCATGAGAGAATATTTACATTTCAAATAAAATCTTACTCTCTTAATGATGAGCAGTTGGTTAAGTTGAATCGCTTTGATAAAATCCAAGAAGGGAAGGAGAACGTCACGTTGACCATTAAGACATCTGGAGCAAAGGGAGGGAAAAGTCATTTACCATGGATTCCTGCCACAGTCAAGCAGAAGCTGTAAATGCAAAGAAAAAAAAAAAATCCCCTTCTCCGCCTAGAGGCCACGGGTGTGCCAGCTGTTCACCAACATTGCAATCAGTATGTGCTCCGTCCCCAGGGGCCGTTCACGTCAGGCAGCCACAGAGCACAGCACCAGGCTCCAAACAGACGAACCCAACTCTAGCTTCAAGCCCCCCATGGATAATCACTAGGAAAAAAGCCATTTTACAGCCCATTTACATCTCCAACTCTCCCTGGGATCACTATCTCAGCTTGTAATTGGCCAAGGCATAAGAATAAAACAAGTCACCGAGCAAGAAGTGCCTAGAATATGAAAAGCAGCACATTAGAGAGGAAATCCCGCACCTTCGGAAGAATCCACACTTGACAAATATTTACCTAACAAATTTGAGAGTGTGGTTTCTAGGGGTGGGAAACCATGATCTTCTTAGAGTCAACTGTCACCAAATCTATGATGAAAGTTTTCTTACTTGCTTTTAAAAACTTATCCATGGGTTTAAAAACCCCTAAAGAATAAAATCAGTAGGATAAAAATTGCTAAGTCAGCGTTAGAGAAGTGTATTGCTTCCCGTATCTCTTTAAACATCGATATTCTACCCAAGGTCCGGATTCCCAGTCCCATCTGTCTATTAGAATCAATTGAGAAATTTTTTTATGAAAATAAAGATTTCAGGGCCATGCTCTAAGATATTCTGATTTTGCAGGTCTGGTGTGGTCTAGGAATCTTTGGGTTACAGTGCTTCCCAGATAAGGATTGTATAAGCTTCAACCCAGAGTAGCACCTGGACTAGTCCAAGTGCCAGTGATAATAAGGAAGTAGTAATACTTTTTTCTTTATATGAATGATTGAAGACTAGGAGATGGTACTTGTTAAATTAAAGTCTTGGAAAAATGAGAAGTTGGCCCGATTTTGTTGGCAGCCCTAATTTTCTCATTGAAATTTTATTAGTGTGTGGTTCCCAGAGTCTAAGAACTCTTATTTTCAGGTGCTTCTCTACAGCAATAAGATTTGCTCTGATAGCCAGAACTGCACATAACATTCTGCTCACATAAAGTGGGCTTATGTGAAATGATAATCTTCTGTTCTAGAGACAAGGAGGTTTGGAGGGCTGGCCTGATCTCTCAGCAGGAGCCTCTGAACAGACACTTGATGCATGTTAGTGGATTGAGCACATGAACACTGAGCACTGAGGGACTCCCAGACCAAACACATTTCCAAGGTGTCCAGTGACGATGGCTGCAGGATCTCTACTTTGCTGAGCATCAACTCTACATAAAACATTGTAAATATCCCAAGGAAATGCATATTCATTATCTCTGAAAGCATTTACGGTTAAAATTCTGGAAGAAGTAAAATACATTAGGTGAAAAAAAAAAAACAGCAATAACAACACAGACTAGGAAATACCATGATAACGGGTTCACGTTCCATATAGTACCTGGGTACCCAGATGCCTGCCGAGAACCAAGGGGATTCTGGAGGTGGGACGGTCATAGCAGAATCTGACAAGGCTGTTAGGGAGAGGAGACTTTCCCACAGTGTTTCAAAGTGGGCGGGAAATAGGAATTAGTGAAAAGAATGAGGCCACCAGAGGCTCAAAGGTGGCCATGGACCAAGTTTTGGCAATCACTTCTGGCTGACTGAGTACAAGAGGTGGGGAAATGAATTTATTTGCCTGTGCAAAATTATGCAAGACCTTGAGCTGATGTGGCGACCCATGCCTGTAATCCTAGCTACCCAGAAGGCTAAAGCAGGAGAATTCCAAGTTTAAGGTCAGCCTGGGAAATTTAGAGAGACCTAGTCTCAAACAAACAAACAAAAAAAGTATGAGGATATAGTTGAGTGGTACAGCCACTCCTGGGTTCAATCCCCAGTACTGATTAAAAAAAAAAAAAAACCAGGAAAGGGCAAAGAAGCTAATGAGGGCTCTAAAAGGGACTGGTTAGCCCCATAAGTCAATCTCAGTTCTTGAGAAGCATCTTTTATGGGTAAGCAAGACCTGCATTTTAGTGACCAAAATTAACCAGTAGTTATCATGAAGGCTACATAGGGTGGACAAAGTGGGAAACTGGGCTCATTTTTCCAAGCAATTCAGACCCAAATAGCCATTCTGAGGTCAGAGGGTGAGAGGCATTTTTAAGCTCAGGTCTCTGGCCTGGTGCATTAAATTTCCTTTTGAGGGGTGAAGGATCAATCAGGTGCCAAGGTCAAATGTGGATGTGTCCTTGAAGTTCAGGTATTGGAACCTGATACCTAGAGATAATATCATGAGTGGGGTGGGGGGAGCTTTGGGAAGTGATTAAATCATGAGGGCTCTCCCTCCTGAATGGGATTAGTGTTCTCATAAAAGAGGTTTGAGGCAGCTCCCTTGCCCCTTCTGCCACATGAGAACTCAGCAAGGAGACACCATGCGCGAAGCAGAGAATGAGCCCTCACTAGGTACAGAATTTGCCGGAGCCTTGATCTTGGATTCTCCAGACTCCGGAACTGTAAGCAATAAACTTCTATTATCTATGAAAGACACAGTCTCAGGTATTTTGTTATAGCAGCCTGAATGGAAGTGAGATGTTGGGTAACTCCAGCTCTTGCCACACAACTCTCTTAGTTCGTGTTATGATCAGCACCCACTCTAGGAGGCCATGAACCTACCTCTACTTCCAGCCTGTCTCATCTGAAGAGATTCTGAATCCTGTACCGCGCCTCCTGACATTCTCTGGAATTTATCCACTTCTCTCCATCTGCATCTGTCCTTACGATGGCTCTCACACTCTGTCTCACCTGGACTGCGGCACTATTTTCCTGCTGGCTGATCTTTTGGAACTCAGGCCTTCTGTCTGTCCCTCCTCCAGTCCATTCCCTACCTCTGGCCATCCATTCATTCATTCAACAAAAATTTATTGATTGATTGTAAATGGCTAATTTGTACTAGACATTGTTCTAAGCACAGCAGTGAAGATGTCCTCTCGAGGTCTCTATGCCCATAGGGCTTCCATTCCAGCAGGACAGATAGATGATGTACAACTGAACCTTTCTGCAACATAAATCTGACTGTGCCAGCCTTCAGCTCAGATCTTTCTGTCTCCTCACAGCTCCCAGGATGGAGTCCAAGGATCAGAAGATCCTTCTTGGTCCCTTGGCTGTCTTCTTTGGTATTATTTTCCACCTGTCCCTACCCCACTTGCCCTACCCATGTGGAACCTTTTTTGGTTCTTCAAACACAGCTTTTGCTCTCCTTCTGGGTATTATACCAGTTGGTCTCTGCCTGGAACACTCTTCCCACTGGTCTTCCTGGCTCAACTCTGTTCATCTTCCAGTCTTATTTATCACTTCTTCCAGGAAGCCTTCCAGATCACACTTCCCCAGCCCTAAGTCCAGTTTGGTGCCCTTTCCCTATGGCTCCCGTAGGACTCCAGGTTCCCTGCAATTATACCCAGCATTGTAATTAACTGCTTATTCATCCCCGACCCATGGGTTACAAACGCCATGAGCAAGGTCCAGCTGGGTGTCCCTAGGACCTAGCACAATGCCTCACACACAGGCAGATGCTAAAAAAAAAAAAAATGCTTCCTGTATGAATGCATGAATAAGTGAACTTAAGCTGATAGAACATGGGCTGCCATGTTTTCTCATCTCACCGAGGACATTCCCTGCTTTTCAGATCTGAATTATCTGAGCCATTTAGGTAGAGCCAGCCCAGTGGTGTCTGGCTGTGCTACACTCTCCAGTCATCTGATAGGGGGTCCTAGAACAACCCAGTGAGGTGCAGACCCAGGTGGGAGCCAGTGCAGGGGAGAGAGTGAGCACAGTGAAGGAGCTATTCAGATTCCACCCTTTACCTTGCAATCTGAATTCCTCAGGCAATCTGAATTCAGGAGGTTCCCTTGCTTTGGTGACTTCATAACAAAACCCAGTAGAGTCCACATACCTCTGTAGATGGGTCTGGTGGGGATGTTACAGGTGCAGGTCCTGTTTAACTGACTTTTCCCCTGGCAGAGCACCCTGCTGGTATCCACGTTCCTCACCGTACAATCTGAGTTTTTTGGAGAGAAGCTGCCCACCATAGTCACTGTGGTCTGCGTGGGTAAGAAAATACAGGAAACAAGTGACCACTTTTGATCATCACCAACCATCTTAGAGTTTGATGTTACTCAGCCTTTGAACCACCATAGGAAGGAGCTATGACTCAGGGGAGCTGTTAGGAAAGAGCTGTTTCATTGGTACCCTGTTGGCTCTATTGTGATTCACATATTCCCATTCTTAACTATAGTTCCGCTGTGTGTGTGTGTATTTTTTCTTATCAATTTTTAAAAGCTCTCCACGTAGTTGTAGATATTCATCCTTATCTGTCAAATTTCGGATACATCTTTTCTCCTAATCTGCTGGCTGCCTTGTAATTTTTTGTTTGTGGAATCTTTCATCCTTGCATTATGTATCTTTATGTAATCAGATGCAGGGTTTCTTGTTTTAGCCTACAGAACGCTGCCCAAACTCTAGCCTATAGACAAGTATAAAATAGTTCCATTTTCTTTATTGTTTTGTTTTTTAAACTTATATCGTTAATCCATCTGGAATTTATGTTTATATATAATGTGAGATAAGAGTCCAATTTTATTATTATCCAGATGGTTAATCAGCTCTGTCATAACCATTTACTAAAAAAAAAAAAAAAAATCCAACAACTCCTTTTCCCACTGAACTGAAATACCACTCTTGCTATATATTATATTACCATATATTTGGGATTTACTTCTAAACTCTGCTCAGTTCTAAAAACCTTTTCATCTACTTCTATTCCAATGTCAATCAACTTTTTACTACTATGGCTTTAAATATATTTAACATCTGATAAGGCAATTCTCTACTTATTTATATTTATTTTCATAGGATTTCCTAGACATATGAGCTTTAAAATAATTTTATCCAAAGAGGGTGAGGAGACTGAGTATAACTGAAATTACATTAAATGTACTAAATATATACATTCATTTAAAAAATGTGCATCATTATGTTATTAAGTATTCCTACTGAAACACACAACTTTATTTTTATTTCTTTTTGACCCAGGGTTTATTTAAGAGGGTGCGCTTTGAGCTCCCACCTTTTTACTACTTACTGTGAATGCTATAATAGTTAAAGGAGGGAGCCTGTGAAATCCACTTTTTAGATTAGTTAAGGTTTGGTCTGTGGTCAAACTATGCTATGAGATCTAAAGGGAGGGGAGTGTTTTGTGTGTGTGTACGTGTGTATACAGGCCTACGTGTATGCACCCATACATGTGTGAACATGTGCACTGGGGACACAGAAAGAAAATCTTGAAAATTCAAAGTCATAAAGCAAATTCTCCCAAATGAATTATCTAAAAGAAAAGGATGACCAATTCTGTTTAGAAGGAAAATTAAAGGGACACCAACAGTGGATATGTTTGGCATCAGGTGCATGAAGAGTACCTGGTTGGAAGCTGGGAGGGGGGGGGAATAGGTGACCCTGCCACCCAAGATGAAGAGTAATGGCTTTGCAAACCTGGAAGGGGTCTACCTTTTGTTATACTTCTGACCTCTGCCTGGACTCCCTGCGTAACCACCAGAGCCTCTGCTGTCTCCCTGGTCCTCTAACAAACTTGCTAAATCTATGCTAGTTTCTGGAGCTCACTCTCATCTTTCCATTTG